TATTTTTTGTTTCTTTCAAGAAATCGTTGTGGTTAGATACATCAAATCAGATAAAAGATGAGCAAGTAGAGTAGCAATTATTAATAATACTATTATACAGGGTGTTTTAAAAGGATATGTCATATATTCTTTCTCAGATAGATTACCAAAAAATAAGTGGATTTGGCTATATATCAAAAACTGGCTCTCAACAAAGTTGGGCGGTTGGGAACCTTTTAACCCCGACGTGTTTGTTTTACATAAAGAAACATGCTTTATCGATCTTAAAATCAAAAAGAACTATGAATTTTAATTTTTTTATAGCGAAATGAACATTGTATCTTTCTTAGTTAACGAACTGTTTACAATTTTTAACTGAATTTCTAGAACATATCAACAAAACTAAGAGTAGGTCAGAAGTTATTGTACAAAAAACGCATATAAAAATCAGTGGTGTGTCTAGGGCTGAGCTTGAGCCGCCCCTGCAAAAACTACCTCTTTTATTTATATTTTTGTAAAAAAGGGATTTATAATATTGGATTGGCACCATAAAAATGGTGTGTCACCCGACCTCATGGGTTCACCATGCCACTGATAAAAATACACGTTAGTTTGGAAATGTATTTATTAAATTTAATGGTAATTATTAAAAAAATTAGTTTTTTAATTAAACAATTAACAAAAAATAACAATTAAAAATAAACACATGACAATAATTATTTAAACTATTTAATTAAGTAAAGGTTCAACATGTCCTCCTCCTGCTTGAATACAAAAATATAAATAAGAGAGGTAGTTTTTGCAGGGTCGGCTCAAGCACAGCCCTAGTCACATCACTGATTTTTATATGCGTTTTTTGTACAATAGCTCCTGACCTTAGTTTTATTGATATGTTAAGTCCAGGACGGACGAATTGCTCTAAAAATTCAGTTAAAAAATTGTAAATAGCTCGTTAACTAAGAAAGATACAAAGTTCATTTTTCTATAAAAAAAAAATGTAAAAATTTATAGTTTTTTTGATTTTAAGATCGATAAAGAAAGTTTCTTTATGTAAAAAATACGGAGGGGTTAAAAGGTACCCAATCCCCCAACTTTTTTTATTCGGGTCGCTTTATTTTTTTTTCTCCTTAGAATATTGGGCCTTCAAATCTACTGCACTGGCAAAAAATTCAAAGAAAAAATCGCAACAGCAAACATTTTACAAAAAAAAAGTTTTTTTTTTTAATGTTAGTTTAACGCCCTGTAACTTTGTTAGGGGCCAGTTTTTGATATAGGTAAATATAGCCAAATCCACCTATTTTTTGGTAATTTCTCTGAGGAAGAATTTATGACATACCTTTTTGAAATACCCTGTATATACTATACTGTATCTTTCTACATTAAAAGATTTTAATAGTAAATAATAGTTATATTATTGGGGAAGAGAATCTTTAATTTTAAGATTTTGAAAAAATACTAAATAAAAGCAGACTTTTAAAAATTTAAAAAATGATTTTATTTTCATCAGGACAATTAAAATAATGTAAGTATATTGTAACTTTTATGAATTTTAATTACCTGCTGATTTTCACTCCCTACATAATCCTTTTTGAATTCTTCAAAACCAACATCAAAGCTTTTATACTTTTACAAACAAGTCAATAAAAATTACTCGCCAACAAGTAACTATAATCCTTCCATTCGAAAATTCCCAGAAAACTGTTTAAATCCCTTCCTTACTTGCAATAAAATCGCCAAATTTTAAAAGCCAAAACGACAATATTTAATACCGTTTATTTACAACCAACCACCCCCTTATCTAGTGTTTGACCCCAATAAAATAAAACCTAAAGATTTAAATTTGGTTAGCCAATATTATTAAAGGCATTTTGCTAAATATTGTAGTTAAAATCCTTAATAACTTTTAAGTGAGAAAGGATTATCTCTTAGAAGAGATAAACGGTTGTCCTTAGATGGCTATCATTTACCTTATTTTTATTTTAGAACATGAGATTATTGTAAGGCGGGTATAAACGGTTTTCTTGGAAAATCAGAAGTAGTAAAAATAAATTATAAGATGTGAAGGAATTGAATATACAAGGACCAAATCCCATGTCTTATTAAAATGTTTGGTAATATAGGGTATGTGTATAATATAAAAATTTTGAGCATGTAAGACTAGATGTATTGTTCAATGTATTGAGGTCGTGTAGGTATTATTGAGGTGGAAACAAATCCCTTTGAGAATGCTCTGAAGGGGGAAGGTAAACAACCCCCTCTTGTTCAGTGGCGTATCATTTCTCTGTAAGAACACACATTGTCCAAACTTTTTAATTGTAGAAAATAACTAAAAAATTCGATAATTTACAATTTTATAAACGTATACCGTCTTATACGTGTGTGATGCAGGAAATAAAACAAAATCACTGTAAAGGTATAATTTTTTTCAGTTAAAGAATAAAACCTTAAAATAAATCCATCAATTTTATTATAAATAAATACAGGAGCCACTAGTCACAAGGACATCTTCAGGCCTGTAATACAAAATAATCCATAATTATCATAATAGGAACAATATAAGAATAGGTTTGATCCATATCCTTCCAAATCCCTTAATAATACCCCAAGGTAAGGAGTAAGGGCGGCTAAATTAAAGCCAATCACATCACGACGAAAATGCGCGGCATATTACAGGCGGGAAATCGTCTTAGGCCTCAGATGCCACTATTGTACTGCGTACAATGTTTTAAGTTTTATGTTGATGTATTGTACAAAAAGATTTTTTAAAAGGTGAATAAAGATTTTAAATGAATTAAATGAATGAGTTACAGCAATGAGTACAGATATAAAAAATTAGATTTTAAATCATAAAAACAACATTATTCATTCGGTACAAAAGAGCGCAATTTTAATATATTCCAAATATATTCAGCAATTTTCCTAGATTCAAAAATTGTTATATTATGTAAAGTATGCAGCAATGAGTTTACATTTTTAAGGCAAGCTATATTTTATTTCATTCTTGAGTAAATAGGTCAATTAAAAAGTATGCGAAAAATAGTTTCTTTTTGATGTGTTTTACACACAGTACAATCTAGTTCGGGATTAATAACATAACCAATACCATTTAATGTAAATTTAATCCTAAAATTATTGGACATACGCAATCGAGAAAGAGTACGGGTAACCTGGATTGGTAATTTAACCCATTAGTGCATGAAGTTATAATATATTCGATTTTTTGAATTTTTTTCAATGTAATATTTAAAAATATACATAAAAGTTAGAAAAAAAATATAAAAATATTTTTAGTATTTTTTATTACTCCAATTTTAAGTGTCCCCCTAAAGGGACTCCTTGCAAACTGAGAATATTACATGTACAAATTGAACATTATTAAAACACAAAAATAGAAAAGTATTTTAATTAGTATGATAAGATTCAAAACAAAATTTAAGATGAAGTCCACAATCACATTTTATACAAATAAAATTTGATTTTTTCTTGCACTCTTGGCATCCTCTGTCAGTTTCATTATAGCGTATCATGTGTCCTATATTGTCAAATCTAGAAACAATGGCATGTGGTAGCGTAGTTTTTTGCCATAAGTTTAAAGGAAACTGAGTGCTATATATCTGCGAAACACTAGTAGTGAGGCACAGTTAGGATCACTTGGTTTCAGTTTTTTCATCAGAATCCAAGCATTTGACACACTGACATCTAACAAATACGACACTATTGGCCAATACCATTTGTCGCATTCTTGTTCTATATACTGCAATAAGTCCATCCATTATGTCGACCCCTCCCATGTTTTTATTATAATTTGCAATAATTTTCGACTGTGTAATCTGCTTTTTAGTTTTGGAGTCCTTGCACCACCTGGAAGTTGTTACATCATTAGATTCGAAATTTGTGGCCACAGTGACAACTTTATTATCCTTTCATTGCACAAAAGTGACATTTTCACATGACATAAAGTAACAAGTTCCCCTTGGTTTGTCTTTCCAAAATTTAATATCAGAAAATGGGTATTTCTCTGCTCGGTCCTGTCTCACAGTTCCAGTGGCGCATATATTGTTTTCAGACAGGTGCTGTAATAAGCGTAGGCTCGTAAAATAATTACGGAAAAAAATATGTATGTCCATTGTCAGCAGGAACTCCTGCTTTCTGAAGCAGTGACCTCACCACATCTCCTCCAAGCCCAAAAACCTTTTCAGAATCTGATTTTCCGGTGTAAATCTCAAAGTTAATCATGTAGCCATTACTATTACAAATTGCTCAATTCTTGAAACCAAAACGTATAGGTTTTCCCTTTATATATTGTTTAGCGTAATGTTTAATACACCCTGAAGTTTAAAATTTTCATTGAGAGCATCTATTAGTAGACGAATTTTATGAAGTCTGTCAGTTGGATCAAATTTAGCATTGTCATTGAAATGTATATGATGTAACAAAGATTTAAATCTATTTTTTTTTGTGTCATCGGCTTCAACTGCTAAGGTTATTTCGCCTCGTGTTCTGTGTAGGCTTTGTTACTGTTTCCCAGCGCCGCTTTAGGAACATCACTGTTAATTAGAACCCAACAGTGAATGGTCGAGTGGGGAATCCTACCAAGGCATCAGAATTAATTTTAATTAATCAAATTAATTAAAAAAATCCCGGCCAACGGTGAGATTCGAACCTGGGCCCCTCGATCCACAGGCAGAGACTCTACCACTGAGCCACCCACCCCCTTTTAAATCTATTCAAGCGCATACTGTTAGATATTTTTGGCATGTCTTCTGTTGAATGCCAATACATTCTTTTGTGAGGATATTTGCCATATCCAGATAACAGCATTCCACCCAATAAAACAAAAAACTCATCCTTTCTGAACTGCAAATCATTATTTTTCTGTTGTGCAAATCGATTTGTTTCTTCTACGATTTTAGATATAAGATTTTTATCAAAAAATAAAAGAGGAGTATGAACAGATTTAGCTTCTGAAGAAGACTCTTTCGGTACAAATATTAGATTTGCAGGAAAATCGGGAGCATCACCTGTCCATCTGTGAATCTTCTTTTTTTTTTTCATCTTTGGACGCCACTGGCTAGTGCTGGCATTGTATAAATCATTAAACTGAGGTTGAGCGAACAATTGCTCTGGTAAAGATTCCTGTATGCCATCGAAATTATTTTCTCCCTGAATTATTTCACAATTTTGTTTTAGTATACCACGACATAAATGATTTTTGTCGCCATAATGTTTATCATCTGATTTATCACTGTCTTCCTCTGTGTCTGCTCCATGGTCAACAGGAGGTTCTTTGTATGTGTTTACATTTCGTTGCTCAGAATATTCTATCAGTAAAGATATTAGTTCATAAACGGGTAAACTGCAAAAAAATATATAAATTACATAAGGTCCAGATTGCAAAGAGTACCTTACAGGGGACGACAAAGAAAACAAGCCATACTATTTCAAATAAAAATTATTTCATTTGCAAAAAAGTACAATTACCTTACAAAAATGTATAGTGAGGCACAGTTAAAAATTTAAACAAATAGCACCAATATAATCCAAGATAAAAAAATAAAAACGGGATCCATTATCTCCTAAAACCGGCAAGCAACCACATGCTTCTGCTTATTTTTAAAGACTGACTGTGAGTGGTCTAAAATCAACTAACTAGTACGATCACACTTCGAAGGTAGGGTTGGGAAGATGTAGACTTCGGAAAATAGGGGCGTCCCTTTAGAGGGACTCGATGCGCTAATGGGTTAAAGAGTAAGTACGTACTTGGTTCACAAGAGGTAGGAACATAATTATATAAATACATAAAAGGATAGCGAGACCCTATACTAACATCAGAATCATGTAAATCTTTAAAATATTTGGAAAACAATTATTTTCTATATAAAAGAAGGATGGTTTAAATTGTTTCATATATCAACACAATATCAACAAAGAACTTTTTCAACTGTACTATCCAGTTATAGTTCATATCTGTAGAGTTGATCAAACGCAATTGTTGTTTAAAACAAAGCTTTAGATATCGATGATTATTCTTTTTCATTATTTTTTGTATCCAATTAAGGGACATTTTAAAAATATTAAATGCAAACTTTACTCTTCGACTCTCTAAACGGATTATAGCATCAGGAGTAGTGGTGGGAACTAAAAGAACTCTTTTAAGGAAATATACTCTTTCCAATACATCTAAGTATCTTAGGCCCCAAACATAAATACAATTAAACATAACACTAAGGACAAGTGACTCAAATAATTTGATTCTAGGATGCCAAGTATTAATTTTAGCTTTTGACATTATCAGAAGGAGAAAACCTATAGCCTGTTTACCTTTGTTGGCAATAAAATGAGCCATTTCTTTAAAGAGACCAGATGAAGTAAATACTACTCCTAGATATGTATATTTATTAGTTATAGGAATAAATTGGTTGTTAGTGTAAAAATTAAAGTTAGGCGTCCTGAAACCCCCTTAGAAAATTGCATTATTTTTGTTTTCTGTAAATTAACAGTTAATTTATTAGCAACAGTATATTTTTCTAAAATTTTAACTATTTAACAACATCAATCTTAGAGTGTGATAAAATGACAAGGTCATCAGCATATATTAGCGACAAAACATCATTTTTGTCATCAATATATATACCTTGAGCACCGTTCTCATAAAAAATGGTATCTAAGTCAGCTATGAACCGTGCAAATAACAAGAGACTTAGAGGTTTTCGCTGTAGGACGCCCGTTGTCACTTTAAATGATTTCAATAGACCATCAGCATTACAGTATTGAAATTAAAGCTGTGGAAAAGGAAAAATAAAAGAGCAGTGCAAACTTAACTAAAAATAATCTGCAAGAGAAAATGTGAGAATGAGCAATTACGAATGCATTTAAGTTGCTCGGAATAACAAATAAGGCTGGTAATCTAAAGTAGTGGTATAATCCTCGTCAAAGAAGGTCCGTATATGTGAAAGAAGACTCGTCGTTTTTTCTGTAAATCTTGAGAATGTAAGGATGGAGGGAAGATGAATCTTGCTAGCTCAGGTGTTGTCATATAGGTCACCGTTTTGTCTTTTATCTTTGAAATTCATTTTCAAAAAAAAATAAAAGTAATTATTCATGCAAGCATATAATAAAACAACGTGAACTCATTATATTTAATGAGCTTTTAAACGTTTGTATCAGTGAAAAAACATATATATGTGAATATAAAAAAAATATAAATAAATAATATTGATATCAAAATTAATTTGAAAATACAACAAACAGATAATATGAAATAAATTAATACATGTACAAATAGAAAGTTAATAACATACCTTTTATGAGTAACACATTTTAAGTAGATACACGTTTAAAGAGTTGATGATCCCTGAACATAACTTATCTGACGTTTTCGCCCTTTTTAATATTATAAGGGTTTTTGTTCTTGAAATGAAAATTATAATTTATTTTTGGTCCTAATAAAAATTTAAACATAGAGGAAAATACATATAGAACTTTATAATCTTAAAACGTTATCAAAAATTATTAATGGTAAAACTTACAACAATAACGTTATCAAACATTATTAATGGTAAAACTTCAAATAATAATTAGATTCTTAAACAAATTGTTTTTGTTTTGCCAAAGGCTTTTTTGACTTCTTCGCTTGCCTCTGCCACTTTTCTTTTAGTAGTTTTGAGGAAAATTTCACTATGGAAACCAGGAGAACCATCAATTGGTTGGTAACAATTTGCTATTTGGGTCTGGTAAGAGGTCTTGTTAAACTTTCTTTTTACGTAACTGTAACCTTTTAGAGAATAGTAATTTAATGTTAGATCAAAAGCTCCCAATTAAGAATTATATTTGTGAAGGCCGTTATAATAATATTTTCAGAAGTTCTTGGAATTGTTGTCAACAGAAATCAGCAAAAAATATATTACTTTATTCCTAAAATATAAGATATCACACAATGCACATCCATATAATATTATTGTGCTAGAACAATAGAAGGTAGGCACTGGGACAATTTAAAAAATAATTTCGAGAAAGTTAATTTTTAATATCATCATCGTACTTAACTTTTTTAGTGCTTAAATTATTAATAATGTCACTTTGTGTAGTTCGTTGTGATTTGTATAATATATATTATAAAAACCTAATGTTATTAGGTGCCGACTTTTTTTTAATAATTATTTTGTAAGATGTCCTTGTTCTAGTAAAAGCACATTTAAACACATTTTCTGGATTTCTGCTTCAAGTTATCGTATAATTGAATTGACTAATTGTGTGTTTAATTAAAGGTATATGTATATCTCTTTTTTGTTAAAACAGTCTTTGTATTGTTCTATACTTTATTTAGATAATTAGAGAAAACAGTATGGCAGCCTAAAATATCCTATTTCATCAACACAAATGTAGAATAATGAATCTCACATCAAACGGAGACATTTTAGGATGTCCTAACTAGGTATTAACTTTTATTATTAGTATGTATATTGCAACTGCGCTCAAATAAATATTTTTATACCTGACTATAGCACCAGAAAGACATTTTTTAGATCATAATGATTTGGATAACTTAAAATAGTCAAAATTTACATTATTTTAGTTGTTCTAGTATTGTTGTAGCATAGCGATATAAACTCCAATAATAAAAATTCAATCTTTATTGGGATGTATTTAGGTTAATAAAAAAAACATGAATAATGTGATATTCTTGTTTAGTTCGTTACTACATTTTAAATAAGAAATCTTTCATTTTCTCTTCTTATCAAAAAACGGTTGTCAGTAATAAAGATTAGAAAAATCTTTAAATTGGATGTTTACTACAATTATTAGTGACCTTGATGTGATAGAAAGAGATATCAAAAACTGATAGAAATATGCATACTTTGCTAAAATAGACACACACACTTGGACTTGTAGATAATAGACTTGATCAATCATAGACTTAATAGGCCCTCTGCCAACCTCAAACGGTTTTATATATTGTTTAACATGTATTGATAGATTTTTAAGTTGTTTCTTTAACCAATATAACGGCAGAATCCGTAGCTCGTGAGTTTTATAATGGATGGATTTGTAGGTTCGAGTTCCTTCAAAAATCACTACTAATCAAGAGAGACAATTTGAACTTTTCAGAGAATTTTCTGAATTGATTTATCTAAGAACAACTCCCTATCATCCACGATCTAATGGCATGATTGAAAGAATTCTTGGGACACTAACAGTTTCTCTAAATGTGTTTTAAATTCCACTGACAAATCGTCAGAAATACTTCCAACTATTTTATTCGGCTTGAGAACTACACCCAACAGTAATTTAAAAGTATTCAATTTAAGAGAAACCATAAATAAACTTAAAGCAACAGAAACATCAAGTTACAACTCAAGAAGAGAATTTTCATTCCAAAAGAATTGTCTGTTGTTCCATTTGTATTTGTTAGGGTTGGAACGGTAAGAAAATCTTTACAAAAACCTTACACTGGATCATATAAGGTTTTAAATAGAAGAGATGGTCATTAAATGGAAGAGAAAAAATATATCAATAATTATAGAGTACAATTTTGAAGAAGATTCGTAATCTTCTGGTACGTATTTTTAAGAGAAATCCAAATCAAGATAAATCTGAAGAATACGTAACAAAATAACATGCATATACCTACAGCAATTGGAGCATTTTTCAGAATCGGCCTGTTTAATATTGTATAATGTATTATTAAAATCAATGTTGTGATTCCGTTTTTCTTTTTTGTCTTTTTGTACGTTCAAATAGTTTTCGTTACTGACATACCAACCCATTTCCTCGTTTCAGTGAAACCGAAAACTGGAAAAGCCTTCCTTCGGGGAAAACTAATATCTCGTCAAATGAATCTTCAATTACCGACCCATCTGTAAATAAAACGTCATCATTTAAATTGTATTCAATCCAATCTGACGATAAATCACGGTTTAATGCAGGTGCGTGTCAGCGAACATTAAAAGTCGAACATTCAAGCAGTGGCGTAAACATAACAATATAATTTAATCGAACGTTACATGAATTGAAAACTAAACATTATTTTAAAGTGTGATGAGTTTCATTATTTTTCCGTACTTGCTAAAAGAACTGTAAAAGATAGATATTTTTAGTTTTGAAGGAAAATCGTATGCAAATGAATGATTCCATCTGGATTAGCTAACAGAGTCAAAGTTTAAAAAAAAATGTCTTTTTTAGGATGTCTTTTCAACCCCTAGGTATTCTATAAATGAGGAAAAATAAGCTTTCTAATATAACACGCGATCTAGGTTGCCATTTAAAAAAATTCAAGATGGCGGCGGTACGCTAAATGCTGACGTCACATAAATTTGATATATCCTCTAAAAAATGCAAATTACAGTCACCTTACAATTTTATAATCATACATTTATTCGTTTAAAAAAAAATACCTTATGCTAGTCTTTTTCGCTACCCTGTATAAAGAAGAATTATATGGGCGAATGCCCATATTATCTTATTACACTGATACAAATATGTAGCAATTATAAAATTATTGTTCTTTTGAGTTTTTTTATTTATAAAGAATTCTTTTAGATACGCCACTGACAGCAGCGATTTACTTATTCGTTATGTACCAGCGGACTTGAACTGTAATGGGTTATGGTTTTATAAAATTTCGTGGAAAAATGAGTCAAAGGTTTTTCCTTAACTCTCCAAAAAGGACCACTACCATTTTGTAATACACTGGCCTAGTTTTTCAATCTAATCGATAGTTAGATGGATTATTGTTTTATGAATGACGGAACTGATTTGCGACAAGTCAAGCGCTGTACTTTTTCTACGAACTGAGTTATATGGAGCCATCCACGAATAATGTTTCTAAAGTAGATGGAAAAATTCACGCATGTGGGAGATTAAATCCAACGGATTTCAGTATTTATTTAGGGATACTTATAATGTTTTCTCTTTGCTTTAGCACTTATATACACTTGTTAAAGAAAAAAAATTGTAATTATTTTGTACATTGAAAGTCAGCAACCTTTTAAAATAAAGAAGTTCATTTAAATTTGTATTCATTGAGTATTCGCCTTTTTGGTGTAACTTTAACATCATCACTAAACTAACTCAGAAGGCTTGGTTCTCTTAAGTCATTAGATTGGTATTGTTGAGGAGTTGGATATCCTCAACGTTCCCATGTGGAGCAGTCGTTTTTGGTGACTACTGGCAAATTTTTCTATTGTATTTTCAACAGTCTCCACTTTAAGGTCCCTATAAAGATCAGTATTGCGGCAGTACCACGGTGCATTGATGATGTTTCTTAATACTTTATTCTGAAAATGTTGAATGACTTGGATGTTACTTTTACTGGAACAGCCTCAAAGCTGGATAACATACATACATACATACGGGTTGTTGCTTTCTTTAGTATAACCTACTAAAGTAAATATTACAAAATGTATTTAACTTTGACAAAGTTAAGATGATAGAGTGCGAACAAGAGAGTTTGCATTTATTTTGTGATGCCAGCTAAGAAACATATGCTGCGGTATTTTTTTTCAAATTGAATCCATGAATTCAACATACATCAAGCTCATCCAGGCTAAAAATAAAGTATCCCCAATTAAGACGATATCAATCCCACGTTTAGAACTCTTAGTTGCCACAATAGAATCAAGAATATTGATGTCTGTAAGGAAATAATTCGATGATGATATCCCTGTTTATTGCTGGACCGACTTTTTTACAGTTTTAAGTTGGATTAAACGAAATGAAACTTGAAACCCCTTTGTGAGAAATCGAATATCAGAAATACACAAACTAACCAAAGAAGAATTCTGGTATCACGTTCCAGGATCTATGAATCCGGCAGATCTACCTTCCAGAGGTTGCTTACCCAAGAAACTACTGTAAAGTAAATGGTGGAATGGCCCCATTTGGTTACTAGAACCCACAGAGAAATTACTCAATCAAACTTATGTTATAGACGAACAAGCTATTTTAGAAGAGAAACAAAAAGGAGTTACATCATTAATTATTCCTAATAAAATTGACAATGGTTGGTTGACTCATTATTTTACGCATTATGAAGATATTTTGAGAAAGGTTGCTTGGATAAGAAGATTTATTTTAAATTGTAAATTTCAAGGGGAATTGCTGAATTTACACAGCTTTCTATCATTAGAAGAATTGTTGGATTTAAAAAAAAGTAGTGATTAAGTTGATCCAGCAAGAAACTTTTGGAAATAATGAAGAATACTTGAAGAATTTGATACACTTTAAAGATGAATTTGGAATTTTCAGAATAAAAACGATGATAAGCGAAAGAGAAGATAGACACTCTTTTAGATATCCAGCTGTACTGTCAAACAAACATATTGTTGTGACACGCCTCATTGCTGATCGACATGTTAGAATAGGAAAACCAATTAGAAATATAATTCCGAAAGTTGGAGATTTAGGGTTAATAGTGAATGAAAATTCAAAAAGATTTATGTGGCCTTTAGCCAAAATTCAAGAAGTGTTCCCAGGTAAACATGGTTTCGTAAGATTATTACGTTTGAGAACGGTTTCTGGGAATTCGATCCTAAGGCCAATTCAACGTTTTCGCCCTTTAGAGATTGGCGAACCAGAAGAAGTCGAGTCCATGCAGCAGAAGGTTCCAAAACCTGCAGAGCAAGGACATGAGAAATCCCAATCAACGATCAAATTGCACAATCCTTGCTCCACAGTTTCTGATCCCGGCCATGACGCAAATGAAAATGATGATTTTGACAACCAGCACGATAAAGAGGAGAATACAGAAAAAGTTACCCGGTATGGAAGAAGAGTTAAACCCCCTGTACGCTTTTAACAGTATAACTGAATTTCAGGGAAATCATTTATCTGGATGGGAGAATGAAAAGGTTTCCTGCACATTTTCAATTGATACGTCTATGAAGCGGTATTGTCTAGATTTATACAATTTTCTGTTAGCAAGGATTGCAGTATCATGAGTAAATGTTGATATTAGATTAGAGATATCTCTGGTATATAACAAGTAGAGTACTAGACCTAGTACTGAGATACTCCCGCCTTAACTTCTCCTAGGTCAAAATAGGCTTTTAAGGAAATGTGGCAGAATGATCTGAGTTTATGTACCATGTGCATATAATTTGAGATGAAATTATAAAAAAGTCTGAGATCGGCAATTTTGTTCGAATCTGTGGGCCAGTATGTAGGCTTTTCAATTTACATTGTTTGATATTTGTGCTGGCATTATAAACTACAGAACGTTGTCCTAAATCGACCCGAATTTATAAGAGATCTTGGAGTTTATTTTGATACTGAACGAACTTTCGTTAAATACATTGAAACATTGTTACCTGCTGCCAACAGGTTTGTTATACGAAGCTGTAAAGAATTCCGTGACATTTCCACCTTAAAAATTCTATATATTAACTTTGTACGGTCAAAAATCTGTTGTTTGGAATCCCGTGCATAACATTTATACTCACTTATAAAAGTTCAAAGAAAATTCATGAAACCTGCTTTCTACAATTTGGATGGTATGTACCCTGCAAGGGGATATCCCCACGATTTACTAATATCTAGATTCAATCTTTCTAAGCTTGTGATACGCAGAAATATTTAACAGGTACTCTTACTTTATAATCTTTTAAATGGATCAGTCGACAGTATTGATTTGTTAAATTACGTTTATTTAAAAATCGCCCGTGTTGGTTTAAGAGTTTACTTAAGTTTCTTCATGCCAGCTTCTAGAACTAATGTTTTGAACTCATTTCCAATGTACCAATATATTTAGAAATATCGTGAAATTTAAGACAGCTTAGATAGTTTTGCATGTTAAATAAAGTTGTATCTGCGTAATATTCTTCTCTTTACTTCTCACCTTTTGTCTTCTCACCGTGGACCTACAAATAAAGTGTTATGATTGTCGACTTAATCTTGGCAACGTGAATATTACATTTCATCAATGAATGGCTATATCTCTGTTATCTCTGGTTCGTCCCATGTCACGTTTTTTGACAGTCAAAAAATATTGATACTGATATTAATTAAAAATCTGATCAAAAATAAGCGTTTTAAGGGAAGGGTTGGTTGAAATTAAAAAAAATCATAAATCAAAAACGAAAAGCGATATAAACTTTATATTTTTTGTAAAAATCCTTGCTCCCTAACGAAATGAAGCCAATTGATTTTGAAAAAAAAAAATAGAATAAAAATAGGGGTTTGAGGGGGGTTGAAATATTTAAAAAATCCTAACTCAAAAACAAAAAAACAATATCGAATTGAAATCTTTAGGAAAAATAAAGCTTTATAAGGATTCGAAGTCTATTAATTGTAAAAAAAATCTGATTGAAAATGGGGTTAAGGGGGACTGTTAAACTCTGACCAGAATAATTTTGGCTTTTAAAATTTTTAATTACATTTAAAACTTCATTTGCGTTTGTAGGTTTTAAAAAAAAGTGATTGGTTCCAAGTGGGTTCTTTGACTAGCTAAATTCAGTAAACCATTTGTAAAAGAATTGATAAATATTTCAGCTTCTTCTGGTTGAACATTTGGTTTAGTATCGTCCAGTTTATAGATTTGTTTATTTACTGTGTTACTTTATTTTATTTATAACTTTCAGGGTTTGCTAGAATTAATTTTATTATTTTCTATTTTTTTTTTAGTGTCTCTAAGTAATATGTTCTCTTTTAGATAAATCATCTTATTTGCTGTTTGGAATATTTGATATAACTAATCTTTGTTAACTAATTTCAGTAATCTATTAGTTATTTAACTCTTCTTTTTACCTTGTTTTTTTTTATTAATTTTGAT